TGCCCTTGTGCTATCACTGTACAAGGGCAAAGGGACTAAGCAATGTTGCATCAACTTGCTGAGTTGTGTGGGCAAGGTGATTGTCCGAATCCTGCTCAACCGCCTCGTCAATCAGGCTGCGGAACCTAAAATGGCGGAAGAGCAGTGTGGATTCCGTTCTGGTCACAGCCCTATAGTTATGGTGTTTGCGGCTCGTCAGTTGCAGGAGAAGTACCGAGAACGACACCAGCCATTGTACTCGCTTTTGGTTGATTTCATCAAGGCATTTGATACGATGAACCGCGAGGCATTGTGGCTGGTGTTGGGTGAGTTTGGTTGTCCGCGTAAGTTTGTAAGTTTAATTGAATGTCTGCACAGTGGTATAAGAGCGAGGGTGCAGCTGAGTGGAGAGACCTCAGATGACTTTGCAGTTGTCTCTGGTGTAAAGCAAGGCTGTGTCTTAGCTCCTGCCCTGTGTAATATTTATCTTCATGCAATGATGTCTTGTGCTTTTGATGCGGCTTGTGCTTACGGCGTTCGTGTGGAGCACCGTACTGATGGTGGGTTGCTGAACATCCGTCGTTGCGGTGCGAGAACTCTAGTCTGTGAGACAACTATCCGTATGTTGCTGTTTGCTGACGACTGTGCGTTGTTTGCACACAGCGCGGATGAGTTGCAGCACATGACTAATGCTCTGGCTTCGACAGAGACCAAATTCGGGCTCACCATCAACACAAACAAAACTGTCTGTCTCTGTCAGCCTCCACCGGAGGTGCAATCTTCAATATTGCCGGGAATCAGCATTGGTGCTAAAGTATTGGAAACCACCTCCCGCTTCTGCTATCTTGGGTGTGTGATGTCGACTGACCAGCAGCTACACAGTGAGCTGCGTATCCGCGTCTCGAAGGCAACGGCGGCATTCGGGAAGCAAGTGTACCGAGTGTAGAACAACCATCATCCTCCCGTTAGCACCAAGCGGATGGCGTACAAATCCATGGTGCTGTCCGTTCTTCTATACGGCAGTGAAACATGGACTATGTACTGGCGGGATGTGCGATATCTCGAGCGGTTCCATCAACAGTGGTTGCGGCGGATTATGCGCATGGGATGGGGCGACAGAGTTGCGGACACAGAAGTGTTGCGTCGAAGTGGAAGGTATGCAGTGGACTGCATACTCTCGCTGAGACACCTGAGGTGGCTCGGTCATGTGAGCCGTATAGATTCGATGCGGATACCGAAACAACTCTTATATGGTCAGCTGAGTATTGGGAAGCGGCAGGTGGGGAAACCAAAGTTACGCAACCAGGACATGATCAAAGTGAGCCTATTACGTCCTAATCTTGATTGCAGGTCATGGGAATCGAAGGCGGTTGATCGCCGTGCATGGCGCGACCTGCTCACGAAGGTAGTTGCCGATGTGCGGGAGAAAAACCTCATGCATGCAGAGAAGAAGCGGCCAGCTCCGATGGGTTGTACTCCATCGACATCGAGCGCATGGTGCTGTAACACATGCAGTATATATATATATATATATATATATATATATATATATATATATATATATATATATATATATATATGGTTGGCGGCATTCGGTTTCGGATTTGACTGTCACTGTGGCCAGCCACAGGGCGCCTGCGCCTACAGAGGGACCATGGGAATAAGACCGGGAGGCATGTGGGTGCGAGCCACGTTTCATCAACGGAGCCGGCCCACACTCCTTCACAAGGCAAACACAAGCACACTGTATTTGGGGAATCAAGCGCACACAAGGCGGTGGCTGGACCGTAGTCCGATCCACACTGAGTGCATGGAACCACTCTTCGAGCCTAGCACGGCCACAAGGACCGTGCACCCCGTCCCCTCCAGCAACGACCAACTGTCTCCTGGAGCCAGTATGGACGAGGTAGTGGGTAATAGACAGGTAGGCACCTTGTCAACATGCACATCAAGCGCAGCCACACCGGGGATATCACGCAACAGCCAATCACTTGAAACGACAAAATGAAATAACATAAATTCAATAATGCATACAGATACGGTGGCATAACTCTTCGCTAAATTAGCATATGAAGTAAGTTGGTTAGCAATGAATCCGCGATAAGGAAAAAAGGTCCACAAGTTACTCAAAAATGCTACAAACGCAAGGAAATTACCGAAGATAAACGCAATTAACATAAGTAACGTGGCCAGCTAACAGAACACTATTCAGATAGGCGAAACTAACTAAATAAACTGGAATGAAATTTATGCAGCTTAAAGAGGCCTAGTTTAAGTGTAAGTTGGTTTAGCCCACTTGCGGTGAAGAAGCATCAAGAATGCAACATCAGCCTCAGCATGGGGCATATATATATATATATATATATATATATATATATATATATATATATATATATATCTTGAGGTCACAAATTACCATTAGTGTGGGTGGCCAATATATGTGGAAGCACTCCAATAACCAGCGCAAAATGAAGATATTATCTATGCAGCCTCGATTTCGAGGAAACCCAACATGTTCATCACGAGTTGGATTTCGGCACCTCCAGTTGATCTACCAAAAAGTACGTAAAATGTTCAAATACTTCATGGGAACATCTTTTTGCTCAAGTAATGCGAACAGATTGCATCGGTCGACTGAGTCGAACGCAATCTTGAAGTCGAGGTACACAGCCAGTGTCGGCCAGGGTACGTGTAGCGTTGTTCCAGCACCTGTCGCAGAGTGAATATGTGGTCCACACAGCCCAGTCCAGAGCGGAAGCTTCTCTGTGCTTCCATAATCCGGGATTTTCGTTCCACAGTGAGACGACGAACGAGAATTCGAACCAGTGAATTTGTCAGAACTGGCGTTAAGCTAATACCTCTGTGGTTAGCACAGTCAGTGCGACTGCCCCCTTTGTAGATCGTTACTATAATTGATTCACTCCACTTAACTGGAATGTCCTCTGCCTTCCAGACCTGTTAGAAGTGGGAGATCAGTGCTTTGTAAAGGACCTCACCACCATCCTTAACTAGTGCAGGTGGGCGGGAATCCGGGCCAGCAGCACAAAAATGATTGAGGGCTGCGATCGCGTAGATTGCGCATTCTACATTTTACGTGTCCCATAATCGAATATGATAGGTCGCGTCAGTTTTCAGCGACCTATCGAATGCCATTCCGACAACAAGTGGCGTACCTTAGGGTGGTCCAATTTTCCCATTTTTGTTTTACTTTGTCGTGGACTACATCATGCAGCCTCACGACGCAGGCGCTGAGATGCTGCATAGTGAAAAGCTAGTTGATCTTAATTATGCGGACGATATCGTCTTGCAGCTTAATGACGTTAGGGCGGCGCAGTCAACCTTGAATAGCCCCTATAAATTGGTCAAATCAGTTGGTATGCGGTTCGCACGTTCAAAGTGCAAAGTGCTACCGCTTGATGACGCATTGACCCTAGATAGCGAGGAACTCGGAAATTGATCGATTCATTACCTTGGCAGCTACATCAGCAAAGGTGAGTGTATAGCAAATGAAATCAGCTCACGCATTGTAAAGGCTGGAACTGGCTTCTTGAAGCTGCGACATCCTTGACGACAGAAAGGGGTTTCCCTCCGTCTGAAATGCCGTGTATACAAAGCCACAGTGAAGGCTGTCAGACTTTATGGAAGCAAGACTGGGCGCCTCCGATCTGAGACCCCTTCAAGTCTCTGACCATCCCTGGTGTCGGGTGGCACCAGCGTGTCCGCAATGAGGATGTCCGTAAGGGAGTACCAGACAGTGATAACCAAGCTAGTTCCTTGGAACAACAGGTAGCACTGAATAAGTTGCGTTGGCATCGGCACGTGCTACGTATGCCTGGTCACCACTTACCGAGGAGAGTATTATTTTGTTTGTCAGATGTAGGGTGATACAAGGCTCGAGGTGGACAAAAGTTGAAGTCACTGACGACCAAACTCGGTGATGTCGATCCGTCTCGCCTTCCAGGCTCGAGTCCACGTAATCTGCCTTGTGTTTGGCTTGAGAGGTTCCAGGACATGGCTCGCAATCGATACCAGTGGCATGTCTGTTGTCGTCTCCTAGTCGGATTGCCTGTTTAAAGTGTGTTTGGTGCTGAGTTATCTGCGGGGTAATGGCTGATTATGACGCGGGGCAGTGAAAGGAAACTGTCTCCTCGATGCCGTCTTATCTTTGCACGATAGCCAGCTGTTTGTGGTGCTATGTTGTTGACAAGGTGTAGGCGTCTTGACCCCGAGTGTTTGTTTAGGGCATTACAGTTTTACGATGGGTCCCCCTTCTCTCCGTAGGGTAGCATGGTTGTACGTCATCGAAGCATCATTGCAAGTCGCTGGTGGACTGCTGCTGCTGCCGAGTCAATCTAAAAACAACGACAGATGTAAGCAACCTGAAGACGAGAGATCAGGCTGATAGCTCTTTGAACGTGAACTGCTCTCAGAAATCTGGACTACAAGGGAGCAACCGCAGTAGACTGAAGCGGCTTTCTATGTCAGCAGCTTCATGCATGTTCTTTGCATATATCCTAAAAGGGCTGATCCATGAATCTAAGGAGGGTTAGTAGAAGCCCGCCGTGTCAAGCTGCGGCATTCAAATTTAAGCCCGATCTCACGTATAACTTACGCACCAAGCGCTAGTCCAAAAGGACGGCTCAAAGAGCAGGGCGATTACGCATCTGGTGACTGTGGTTAAGCAAAATGATTTTCTAAGTAGAGCAGACGATTGGTTTTCGGGTTTTAGAGTAATGGTTTTCAGTTTTAGGTTTCAAAATCGCGTTTCGCATGCATTTTTATCGAATCTGATAACTAAGAGGGGTATTTTACACAAGACTTTCGAAGATTTCCGCTAAGCTAAGGTTATTGATTTCGTGATCAAAGGAAATGGTGCCACAAGTTAGCATGACGGAAACGTCCAGTACCAAAGATTTTGACTGCAAGAAGCAAATATTCAGTAACGCTATCCAAACATCAAAAATATCAAATAAATAACAGAAAACCTAGCAAAAGTTACGAAAGAATTAAAGCTGACCTACCCATAGAAAGTTACGTAGCGTTGGAATATCGGCTAATTCGTCTGTCGAGACCAAAACCGATGCAAAACGAGAAAACGTTCGAGAGGATAGGTTTCTCAAGAAGTTTACGGCCTGTAAAGTAACTATGGATGGAACCTCCGGAGAAAGGCAAAAAGAGAAGGTGTCCATTATGTTGTTTGAAGCCTGTAACGAATGTGATGCAAAATAACTAAGGTAACCTTTGACATCAAGAGTAGATCACAGCTCACAGGATCGCAAGACAGATTGACTAGCAGCGAAAATATCTGACGCAGCATGTGCGGGTCTCTCGATTGAAGCATGTCACAGAGTGTATTTATTCTGTCATCTAGTAATCGGCACCCATCGGTGGTAAGCGCTATGTTGCACAAAAGCTGGATAGCAGCGCAAGCTTGGTCACTGTAGGCTATGCAATTCGCGATGGAAAATATGTCGCCTAAGTGTTGCTGCATAACTTAATCCAGCGGAAAAGTGTGGAGACCTTACCTCAAGTAAAGTTACACACTCATTATCGCATGCAAAATTTGTAATGGACTGCAGGATACATAGATTCTGCTTCTTAACTACAGGACTGTCATCGTTGCCGTTGAGCAACTTGAGCATAGACTCCAGGCATCCGGACTTACGAAACACTGGCTAAAAAATGAGTATTTAGTGAGTAATGCCGGATAACTTACGAAGTTAGAGGAAAAAGAAGAAGCTTGTTGGATCATACGGAGGCATGTTAGCTTGGAATCGGGATCGGAAGACTGAAGCAACTTGCTGAGAGTAGCGGCAACCTCAAATGTCACACACTCCTTTTGGTAATTCAAAAGAACTTTCAAGGGAACATCTTGACTCCTCTGTGTTTCCAGCGTGGAAGTACTTTTCCTTCGGAAATAGAACAAGTAAATCCAAAATGGCAATAATGCAAATGTGCAGGAAATCAATAAAAGTGAACGGGTCTCCATCAGAGAGCGCAGAGCCAAAATAAATCAGTGATCTATCTGGACTGACGAAATTAGCAATTGTTGTTGGCGCTTTGGGAATCTAGGCCTTAGTGTAGTATGCGTCCGGTCGAGGATTTCGAGGGCTTCCGTATCCAACGTGTACGTGGACCGTAAAAGAACGAGGGGCTGAAATGCAAAGCAAATACGTCATAGGCGATTAGACTGTTGCATCCCAACCACCTAGCTAGAGACGGCGATGAATAGAAGTTATGCCCAACAAAAAAAACTCGTGATGAACTGGATACAGTTATCACAGCCGTCTATGAAGGACAAAGACTGAGGTGAATGGATGGATAAAGTCTAAGGAAAGAGAGATGGCCGCTCTCTAAAAACGCCGAAAACGAAATAGGAAGGCAAACAAAAGAAGAAACAACCGTAGCCTTCTAGGCTAATCTCCACAACATTTTGCCCGTTGGCTTGCTGCTGTAGGTCGATCGGTGGCCGAGTGGTCCGCACACCTGATGTGTAACCATAAGGTCCCCGGTTCAAATCCGCGCATGGGTGGGCGTCCTCGCGGTATACTCAGCTCGCGCGCGACTGGTGGTGGTCGCGCGGCAGCGAAGTGCCGTTACGGCGTACAGCTGGCACATTTTTATTATATCTATTGTTGCTATAGAGACACCGGATCCTGTTCTTGTCACGAACTGCGGATAGCCAATGCCTGTGTGTTTTGTCCCTTTGCAATTCCCCCCCCCCAAAAAAACGGAATGAGAGAGAAATAACATTCCAATATTTGGAAGAGTCGGAAGAGTCACCTCCCAAACTAAGGCCATGCAATGCACGTTACGCGATGTCTGGCTGTACAATGCTTGCTGCAACATCGAAGGCGATTCATACGAACTTTTCCAGTTGGTATATTCCTCGGTTGTCTGTTATATCTGTGACCCGTGCCAAACCGCAGAGGACAAGTGTCACTTAACTGGTACATCCCCACTCAGCTGTATTACTATACCTGTGGTTCACGCTGAGGAACCAATGCCCAATTTGCGCCGCAATTTACCGTGTCCGGTTCAACAACCCCGAATATTAATCGTAGTCGAGATCCCTGCGCTCATTTTTAGAGAGTCTTCTATCCAGTGAACACAAGAAAACGTATGTCTCCGTCGTATAGCAGAGAGCAACACCAACGTAAGACACGCTAGATACATTGGTTCATTGGTTTGTAAAGAGCAGAAAAGAAATTCCATTGTCAGCCCCATCACTTCCCGCTCAAGGTAGAAATCACGTGAGCTGATTCGGCACAGTGTTTCACAAGGGAACATTGCGGTCATAGTCAACACAGCAAGATCCATGCTTGTCCAGCAAATAGCAATCGTTTGAAACATTACGCTGTTTGCGCACCGACGACTAGCTTAGGTAAACTGTTCCAGTCATTCACCACACGAGTTGGCAAAGTGACATCAGAACGAACCCGAAGCCTCCGTGGTTTAAACAGCTTCATACCGTGGCGCTCAAAGATGAAAAAATTCTTGTATCTCATCCCCCATCTCACATCGAAGCATACGTCGCGTGTAAACCAAATCACCACGGCGACGCCGATACTCCAGGGAGAACAAATTCCTCCTTTAAAGGCGATGAGAGTAAGATAAGTTCCGGAGTGTCATGACGGATTTCGATCGCCGCCGCTGAACATTCTCCATCAGTACGGATTCGATTTTCGTGAGATAAGATGCCGGCAATCCCTACTCAAGAATTAGTCAGACATGAGAGCTGAACAGAAGTTGGAATATCTCTAGAGTCATCTGGGGAAAGGATCTCCTTATAGAAAAGAACATCCTTTTGGCACCAGCAATTTTTTTAGGGTGTCTCGAGTCCTGCGTGGGTTTGGCTAGACAATAACTCCAAGATCTATCTCCAAGGTTGCGTTCCTGAGCAGGAAGCCCCCAATGCGATAAACACCAAAGTGGTCCGGGGCACCAATTGGGAGAACATAACACTGCATGGTTAATGGGGAGCCGCCACTCCAATGACCAGTAGTGCAACCGGTCAAGCGTTGTTTGTAGCAGGTCAGCATCATCAAGCTTGGACACCTCTAGCCACAGTTTCAGATCATCAGCATATATGAACCGATCCGTTTGGAGCTCAGATGGAAGATAATTGAGGTAGATATCGAAGAGCTCAGAATTAAGGACAGTGCCATGTGGGATCCCGCTGAGCACAAAAACAGGATTGGGGAAGAAATCATTCAGTTTAACTTGCATGCTCCGGCCATTCAAGAAGTCAGCGACCTAGGAGAGAACCTTCCTAGAAATTTGAAACAGTTAGTTCCCTTTAGTAATTTGAAAAGCGCAGTAAGAAGACGA